AATGCTCCAGGAGAAAAGCCTGGCCGACACCGAGGAAGGGTTCGCAGCGGCCGCGGCCCCCGGCCATGCCGACTCGGCCGCGGGCTCTCCGGTCCTCGGCGTAGCCGGCGTGAGCAGCCCACAGGGCCCCGACCCCGAGCAGGTACTCGCCCTCCTCACCTCCTTTCCCTCCGATACCCCATTTTAATTTTAAAAAGTTTGTACTCTTTTCTCCCCGGCACCCGAGTTCCTCTCTCATCCTTCCGGCCGCGCATCTTTTTTTTTTGTCCCGAGCCGCGGAGGGAACTGCAAAGTATTTTCCGCTTTCGTTATTTTATTTTATTTTAGTTTTTATATCCCACAAAACGCCTTTGCTCTGCCCCAGCCCTTGGGAGCTTCGATTCCGTCGCCGTCCGCGGCGGCTTCTCGCGCCAAGGGTCTGGCCCGGCGGTGCTTTCCCTTATGCCCCTTTCCGCTCCCCTCACCAAAAACGTCGAGGGGGCCCGGGCGGTTTTGCCTGCCGAGACGGGGAGAACATTTCCCGGGCGCTGTTTTTTGGTGGAGAGCAGAGAAATCCGCGTTCCTTTTGCCTCCCGCGAAAAATTCCCCGTGCCTGGACGTGATTCCGCAGTTGAACGGGGAACAGTTCATCTCTCCCGTTTTTGGCAGCAGGCAGGAGGTGGGGGGATTGGTTGCAGGTCCTGCGGTTTTTGGACGTTGCGTTTATTTATTTTTTTCTTAATAACTTATAATAATTTATTCTTTTTTTTTTCCCCAGACAATAGAAAATATCAAAGTCTATCTCCACGAGAAAGAGCTATGGAAAAAATTTCATGAAGCCGGCACCGAAATGATAATAACTAAAGCAGGCAGGTTAGTGAAAATGCGCCATGAATGGATATTTCTTCTGCTCCATGTGAAATGTTCCTGTTTGCTCTGGCTTGAACATTTCCAAATATTACAGAGTTGTTGCACGCAATTTTGTTGTTTTGGTTTTTTTGTTTGTTTGTTTTAAAATATTCTTTCGATTGCAAACTGGAATGGGATCATTTTGCTATGCAAAGTATGCCTGTGCCTGACTGTCTTTCTAAGTGTGGCAATGACGAGGCTATTGATTCAGGAAAGAAACGTCACAGTCCAGACTTGGTCTCAAGACTCTTTTGTGATTTTTTTTTTAATTATTATTATTATTTTGAAGTTGTTAGAGTGGAGCCATTATAATGCTGATGATTTTTCCAGGAGTGACTCACTGCACAGGGCAGTGAGACCTGAGCTGGGGCACCTGGAGTCACAATTTTAGCAACATGAAGGCTTGGGATACAATTGTAAGATTAAAATTGTAAGAGATGGAGTCGTCATTATTTTGGGGGCTGCTAGATGTTAACAAGTTCTGCCTTCCCTCGGAAGCAAAAACATTTTTTGGGCTACAGTGGAAGGGAGCCTGACAGCTTCCCAGAGAGCCACGGCTCTGCTGGAGACGGTGCTTCCCACCCCACTCAGGTGGAGCAGGACGAGAGGCTCAGTAGTCTTGTCGGGCTCTTCCCAATCTAAATAGCCAAAACCTCAGCTCTTGGTTCCTGCGGTTCTTGTTGCTACTGCTGCGAAACAGAAATTGTGAGGATTAGGTCTGAAAATCCGTTTAATTCGAGCACAGCTATTTTATTCCACCCTGCTCTGCAATGCCTCGTTTTGTACCCAGGGATGCTAGGGAAGTGCAGAAGAGAATACCTGAAAAAATGGGAAGCAGTCGGAGGCGGGAGGAAAAAAAAATCCTTGTATCCGAAGCTTTTTAAGCTTTCTTTTTCTTTTTTTCCCCCCTTTTTCTTTCTTCCTTGCGTCCCCGTTCCTTGGTGCGTGGTGGCTGGGGGATTCCTTGCTAGCAGCGGGAATGGGAGCAGGAGCACGGTGCTCCGTGTGCCGCTCCGGGCAGAGACCCCATTCCCAAACTCACCCGTAGGAGCAGCCAGGGGGGGTTCTGCGGTGGTTAATGGTATCTGTCTCTTTTCTCCCAATGTCTAATAACCAAGATTTTTCCCAAGTGCCCCGCAGAGGGGATTTGTGCCCCAGCGCTGTTCAGTTTATTTTCTCTTTAGCCTTTTTTAAGGCAGTCGCGCAGGTAGCAACGTCTTTATCGCTCCGTGTTTTGGGATGTGAAACCTTAGGGCTCGTTCTGCAGCATCTGCCGGCACGGGGAGCTGGATCCGCTGCGCTAGCTCTGCTACCTAAGTCGGCTAAGACGGGAGGATCAAGACCTCCGATATTTTACCCTTAATTTATAGTATCTGAGCGTGTCTGCGCGGGGTGTGTTATATCTTTACTGAATATCTAGCCCCTAAACATCCCAAATGTGCATGTTATCTCTTTGTAGGTCTTAACGTGGATTGTTTAAGCAAATCCATATGTATAGGGCTCAGTCCCACATTCTTTGTCCAAGGAAGCGGACAGTGTGGCCATGTCCGACGTGCGGGATCGTATGGAAGGGACGGGGCAGCTGGCGATGACCTCAGGGCGAAAGAAACTTCCTTACTTGAATTATTGAGCCAGATTTTCTATAGACGAAAATTAGGGCAGCGCCAGTGAGTTAGCTGAGTGTTTTTAATTTGTACTAGCAAAGAAAGAAAAAAGAAGAAAATGTATAAATATTGATCCCGAGGCTGAAAAGTTAGTGAATAACATGAAACTAGAGTGTTTTTTTTTCTTGCTGGCATAAGCAGGGAGCCCGAAGCCGGAGCAGCTCACGCAGCACCGATGGGGACGATGCTGCCACCCGGGACGGCTCCATCCCGCTGCCACCCCCGGCTGCTCCCCCGGCAGCAGAAAGTGGGGGAAAAATGCGCAAAATCATTAGCATGAGAAGGGCAGGAAAATGCCTGGCTGTGACTGCTGCGAATGCGCGGACAGCCGCGGTTCGGGAGCAGGGCAACCGGCTCGGCCGGGACCGTGCAGAGCAGCCTCAAAATGCAACTCCGCGGTCGATCATAATACAAATTATGAAACGCAAATGATGGTTTGCTGCAGATTTTATTTCTTCCCAGACATTTAAATAACGGTAGCAATAATAAACCTCTCCTTGACCCAATTAAAAAGTGATGGTTAATGGAGGTTTGTGTGTACTTGCATTTAGCATTGAGGAGGGCGGGAGGAAAGCGGCTAATTGCAGGCACTAATTAGGGTTCTAATCCCCCTCCCAGCAGGCACGGAGATGCCCCTGAATGCAGTTAGTTGAAAACACTTAAATGTTGGTCTGTCTGACCTCAAGGGGCACAAACGAAAAGGGATAGAGGACTGATTTTTAAATTTCAAACCCAAAAAGTGACTTTAATGACAAGTTCACTCAGTGGAGAGGAAATGTAAAGCTCAGCGGAAGCGTTAATTCCATGGCAATGGTGTAAAATGGTCTTTTTGTATAAACAAGGCAAATATTGATAACTTTCTGGGGGGGGAGAGAGGGAGTCATTTGTTTCATTTTTCTGTGGAGCGCCAAGGAACGAGGCAACTATAAATTATCGAGAATTTAGGGCTGAGAATTACTTTGGGGGATTATTACTCCCTCTTAGGACTGATCTGTAGGAGACATTAGGAGAACACAGCAAGCTCAGCATTGAAATAGAAATCATGTTGTTGCCAAGAAAGCTTGATTTATAAAGTGGAAACATCTTTAAAATGCACTCACTATCTTTTTAATGTTTGACTGCTTCATTGTGGGAGGGGAAAAAAAAGAGAGATTATTTTATATTAAAAGGATCATCAAAAGATAAAAAGTTTATGTTAGCAAAGTTCCCTGAACTTTGCATAAAACCACTTGCCTCTTTCATACATAAAATACTGCGCATTGCCGTACGTAGAGGATGGGATGTTGCGGTACATAAATCAGCATCTCTGTCTTGTTCCTCCTATTTGAGGTTTGTCCTAATTACAAATTTGTACCCAAGAGAGTTTTCTGTTATTTTATGTTAGTTATTTTTTTTTGAGCTGAATTAAACGTAATGCAAAAATGAGCTGTTACCTGGAGTCAGAGGTAGTGAGTGCTCTGGGCTGCCTAAAACAGAAAATTTAGGCTAACCCCCCGCTTTTTCGCCGTTTCTGTAAGCGCTGACAAGTCAAACGTGGCGTTTTCGCGCGGGAGCCGGAGCCGCGGCAGCCGCGGCGCGCGCCGAGCTCGCTGCTCTCGCGGGCAAGTGCTAATGAACCCAGTGCCTGCATCCACGCAGACACTGCATGCCCGTGTGTGATTCTGAGTACAGTGCACGCATGTTCAGATGCATTTTGCATGCCTATATACACATATAAGCATGTAATGCATCGCTATATATATGCATACATATAAAAAAATTACATATGTAATATAAAGTTTAAGATTTTTCAAAGAATCTCCCACTTCCAATAAGAGTGTTTTCCCAAAGAGCAAGGTCCTATTCAGTGCATTGGGTGGGGATAGAGGGGACGCAGAGTGTCTGCTCTGTCCAGCCCCGGGCATCGTCCTGCCCTGGCACCCGCCTTCACTTTTGCATTTTAGGCGTTGGGTAGTGATCAAGTTCTATGTAGAAGCATAGAGCAGAAGGTACATGAGACACTTCATTGCAAGCTTTTATTTTTTTTTTCAGTTCTTTTCCAGTTTCTTCTTGCTCTTGCATGGTGTTATTCAATTGAATAGTCTTTTTTCGTTGCCTTTTTTTTTTCTTCTTCTTTTTAGTGAGCCTTGTGGCAAAACCCACTCTGCCTCACGTCATTCTTTGTTAGCTCTCCCACATCTGATTCCTGAAGGACATTAATTTTTGCATTTGCTGTTGTCTTGGCTCAGGGTTTCTTTTTTTTTTTTTTGCTGCTCTTTGTTCAGATCTAGCCCTTCTCCGCCTTTCCCAAGATCCCCAAGCGCGTGGTTCCAACCAGGATATTTCCCGGGATCAATCGTGTGATGTAGTTTATGGCTAATCCATAAGAAATACCAGCTCCCTGAGTGTTTGAACACCTTTCTGTGGCAGTTACTCTAAAGAAAGTGATATGTAATTCCTCTAAAGCAGTACAGCCACCCTGGCAGTGTCAGCAGTGGATTCAGGGCACCGAAATTCAGTTTTGAAAGCGATGTGGGCTGTGCACAGGTATGGAGGGAGCTTTGTGGTAGCAGGGCTTGAGAAGCATGTGTAGGAAAATATTGCACAAAAGAAAGGTCAATAAAGCAGCTTGCATGTGTGGAAAAGACGCAAACCCCCTTTAGATGTTCAAGTTTCATTTTAAAAGTGGTTTATTTCAGTATTAAAAAAAGTCTGTTACCAATCAACTTTAGAAAACCAAAATATAACTATTTTTTTAGGACATCAAGGTTTGAAGAAGTATAAATGCTTTGGCTAAGCTGGTGCAGCTTTCTTCTCTGCACAGTCCCTTATAAGTTGCATTTTCCATGGCTCTGCGGGGCATATGGATGCCCAGTTCCCATCACAATTAAAGGGAAATGTTTGTCCAAAAATTTTTGAGGCAGCTACAAAAATCTCTGCCGGAGGGTTCTGATCCCAAAGCAAACCCACCTCTTTAATAACCTAGATCAGTGGTGGAATGTGGGCCATCAAGCCAGAACTTGGGAATAAAGGAGATATTTGAAGAATGTTTGATCTGCTCCGTCCTAAGCGCGGGGTCCTGGGATTACCCTGTTGGGAAGAACTGCCGGCTCTGTGCGAGGAGCAGGAACACACGCCCATGGTCCAAGATGTCAATGGATTTGGCAAGCAAACCGGAGCACTCGGATGCCGAGCAAGGCTGGGCTGTGGGATTTTCCTGTTTTCAACCATCAGTCACTGCTTTGGGTTTGTTAAAAACTGGGGATGTCGATGGCTAAGCAGGCAAGGGCAATACTGGCCGGGGAAGATGTCCATGGGCCGGGATGCGGAGGAGCATCCGGAGCAGCATCCCTCTGGGCCTGGAGTTACTGGGGGGCATGGAGAGGAAGTGCTTCTGGACCAAGGAAGCAGTTAACCAAGTTCTTGAGTACGTGAGAAACAATGTTTTATTTAAAAAATCAGATGTGCTAGCCAGAAAAAAAAGAACATATATATATACTTATATATATAATGTCCCCATGCCAGAATATAAAAATTCCCTAACTGTCTGACCTTCTCATCACTAGGTCATGGTCCTGCCACCAGATCAATCTCCACTATCGGGTCGTGGGCTGCGAGTTCAATGTTGCTTGTGTTAGTGACAGTGAATTTGGGGCTGAAAAATGAACTACTGATGAGAACTCCTGTTGAACCTGTATTGTTTGTTATTCTGAGGCAAGGATCTGGCATGGGCTAATCCAGCACTTCAAAGTTAACGGCTCTTACTTTGTATACAGAGCGTCATAGCGGAGCGGCGCGGGTGATAAGAGGAATAGGGGACGGCAGGGTTAGGATACACTGGGAAAATGGGACCGTGTTGGAGAGCGCTTTGATCTCTTCTAAAGTATTTTCTGAAAGCAAGAATCTATCAAGGAGGAAATGCCATTTTAAAGAGCTAAAAGGAACAGCTGACATCCCCAAATTTGTTTTAATCTACCCCGGAGAATATTATTTTTAAAGATGAGTTAAGTCAGTGGAAGAAATACTTGTCAGATGAAGGGAAATCAGGGGAGGGAAAAAAAAAAGCAAGAAGGGTCATCAAAATGAAACTGTGGTGCTTGATGTCTCCGTGCTCCCTTCCCTCCTGGAGGAGGAAGAGCTTTTGAGCTGCCAGGCCCTGTTTTCAAGCCGAGTTTGGGGTTGGATTGTTCCTTTCAGGGGATTTAGGTGTGTAATCTGGCTTGGTGCTTGGACAGCGCCGCTGGATGGGTCTTTATGTGCCCAGCCGCTTTTGAGGAGTTGTTCTTCCAGCCAATGGAGAACTTCTTAGGCAAGGCTTTCCAAAGCAATTTTTTTTTTTCTTCCCAAGCCTTTCCCAACTTGCCGTGCTATAAACGTCGCCTTTTCCCAAGCGCCCTACAGGAGTTTCCAGCAATCCGGTGCCTTCTAGGTAGCTTTGCTTGGCCATCCTCAATGGGGATCACGACAACTGTGTTTGCAAATCTGTCCTATTGAAGGGGCTTAGGAGAGCCAGGCTCCATCTTGACACGGATGGGTTAGAGATGCCAAAGGTGGGTTTGATGTCCCCTCTGGGACCTCAGGGTCCAGTTCCCTGGTGGTTTTCCCTAAGGAGATCCAAGGCAGGTTCCCCATGGCCTCTTCCCTGGCCACCTACCCCTACCCATGCACCGTGGGCAGCCCCAGAGGTGACATGGGTGGGATGTAGCCTCGGCCAACCTGCTCCAGGAGGACATCCCCACTTCTTCCATCATCTTCAGCATTTCAGTTCCTGACCCCCACCCAAACCAAGACTCTTGTCCCTGGGATCGCTGCCTCCGTGCGTCCCTGCAGGACCCGGCCACGGTGGCTCCAATGGGTGCCCGACCACGCAGGGCTGGATAAGAGGTGGCCAAATCCAAGGAGCCTGAGAGGCTGGGAACTCATGTCCTAAATGTGAGCGCTGCTTTGCTGCTTATCGCTCGCTTGCTAAGCCAACCAGCCAATTACACATTAATTAAACTCTGTTTGAACATCAGAGAAGCTTTGGCTCCGCGTCAGTAACTGCTCTGAGGCAGAAGGGAGTGGATAGCCATAGGATAAATAAATAAACAAGAGATGCTTATTCTAACAGCTCATTTTAAAACAATTTGTGAATATCATGGAGAGATAAAATGGGCCTAGCATAAACTCAGCTAAGCAGGGCCCATTTTGCTATCAGAGCGAATAATTCACTGGCACATCATCTTTGAAGCTTGGGAGGGCTGTGCAGTTGTGCTGCTTGTTTATTTTCCTGGATTTTACTGTTTTTGCTATGTTTCATCTGCCCGGGGCTGCAGGGCAGGGTTGTGCTGGGGCTGTGGAGCTCTGTGGGCAGCCTGGTGGCCCTCCCAAGGCCACGCATGTTGTCCCCGGCGATGGTGGGCGCACACTGGGCTGCAGCACTAGGTGCCAAAGTGTGGTATTTTAGCGTTCTTTTGCATGTGCCCCTTGCACTAATGGCATCTCCATCTCTTCTCTCCTGCGCTCGCTGTCCTTGGCTGTGTGACCATAAAAACTCGTCTCGCTTCCCCTTTGCGTGCTGGTGAGAGCTACCACTGTGTCCCAATGGCTCTGCTCGACACAGTGGCGTTTTGGGGGGAAATGAGCCTTTTCCAGGCACCAAAGCTGTCTGAGGGCGGTGCAGAAGGGTTGGAGAAGAACCCTGGCACTGTGTCCTACTTTGATGCTTAAAACGCAGCAAAAAAGGCAGAAACCAGCCCAGAAGCCCAGCTGTGGGCTGCTCTGCAGTCATTCCCACTGGGCAGCCGGATGGAGCATCCCAGCTTCCCACCAGTGATGCCTCCTGGGTGTGCCTCCGTTTTGGGGACAAACGGGCTGTTTTTCACAGGCAGCCCCTGCCCTGGCTCAGCTCCCACTCCTGCTGCCTTCCCTGCCTGGGATGCTGTGTTGGGACAAGCACATCTCCTGATGCGCATCCGTGTCCTGCTTTGGCTCATCTCCGGAGAGTGGGAAAAGGACTGAGGGGGTTGTACAGGGATGTGCCAGGAGCCTCGGCGTTCCCTGCAGCAGCCCTGTCCTTGGGGTGGGTTTCGGAAAGCTGGGCCCAGCTTTCCCAGTTGGGGAAGACACTGCTGATTTTTTCCATGCGCACTGAAGCATTCAGCGTTTTTGGAGCCATGAGCGATGCAGGATGAAGCAAGCTATTGTCAAGGAAATCTGGCGGCTGCGAAATAAAAAGGAGAGGGAGAGAATAGCACTTTTTCTCTATGGAGAACGCCCATCTGCAAGAGGATTTCTGCCTGCGGAGACTTGGCAGAGGAGCCGCTTATGCAAAGTCACTACCGAGCAAAGAGCTGCTCGCTCTGAGTAGCTCCATTGACCTGCAGTAAATTTGGGCGAGCAGGCAGGTTTTTGGCCACTTCCCAGGGCTCACCAGCGAGCTGTATAGCCCCACTGTAGCCCGCTGCTCTCCTCTGGCCGAGCTTGCTCTTTTGGCTCCCTCATTTCCAACAGGGATTTGTAGGAAGAGTCGGGTGATGTGATGTTGGGTGCTCTTGCTCGCTTATTATTATTATTATTTTAATTGAAACTCCATGCGTGCACCTTTTCGGAGTCGGACCGCGGGCTTGTCGCGCCTTCTCAGCAGAAACACACAGCCCATGTTTGTATCGTGTTGCAAAGAGATATTTGCTAAATGAGCCTCTGCCAAGGGGTTGAGAAATATGTTTTCATTAAGAAAATTATACTGACAAGTCCCTGGACAGCACATTAGTTGCATTTTTTTTTTCCCCCTTTCTTTTTAAAGGCTAAAATGCGGCAGCTAATAATAATGATGAAATGTCCGTACACAGCCAAATTACTAATATCTACCCCGTGTTTTCCTGGAAAAGAATGCGGCGAGTTGGCAAACGCTGGCGCATCCCGCGCCGCTGCCTTGCCGAGCGCAGCGCTACCACCGCGAGATACTCGGCAGCTTGCAAGTTAAGCAACACCTTCCATCAGATGCAAGTTCCCATTTGTTATCCGTAAAGAATTCAGGCTGTATATATTATGGTAGTACTTTGGCTCTTTGTATTTATTTTAGGGGGCTATACTAAAGAACATTATAAACTGAGGCATGTCTATGCTATATGAGCTCCATATGCTGAAGCTTAATTTTAAATGCCATTAAAAAAGCACTTAACATTTACAATATATCAGTCCAGCTACTTTAGCAGTGGGGATGTGCCACGATGTATGAAATGATTGGGCAGAAGGAAATTCAGAAGCTGCATGCTAGGAAAATCCCGGCTGTGGAGCATCCTGCCGGTGCGACTCAGCCCGATGCGGCTGTCGCGTTTTGGATGTTTAATCAATTCCTCCTCTTTGGTTTTGTTCAAAAAAAAAATTTAAGGGCAATTATTAAAAATAAAAAAAAAAAAAATCTTGGCATCGGGCTTGGATTCCTCATGCTGCGTTTCTGGGCCGGTGAATTGGGCCGTGTGCTGCCCGGCCGCTGCGTCCTGCTCTATTTGTGCAGGTGCTTGCGGGGCAGCGGGGAGGGAGCGGCTGCCTTCAAAACAGCCCACGGCAGAGATGGCAGGAGGGGACGGGGCTGATATACAGCCCAGGAAAAAGGTTGCTCAGAGGGTTTAAGGTGCAATCGTGCAAGTCCCGGGCTGACTGGGTCCGTAGTGCTGAGGAAAGTCCTGGAAGCGCTCGCACCCATCGGACAAGCTCCAGCTCCTAACGTCAGACCGCAGCTGCATGTGCCAGTGTCACTGCCATAGCTGCAGAGTAACACGGTCTTTAATAGTGCAAATACTCCTTATTTGTACAAAGCATAAAAATATACTTTGGTAATGCACCATCGCGTGCAAAATTCCCTGGTTGGGCTGGATCGCAATGTCCCCATGGAAGTCGGCAGGACTCTGCAGGTTCAGTGGGCTGCCCAGGCCTTGTCACCGCTTCCAGGTGCACCCAGGCTCCCAGCATTGTCCCTGGTGGGGTGTCCCCATGCTGCCATTTTGACACCCACGCTGACACTTTTTCCTTTTGCTTCTTATAAGGAGGATGTTCCCGAGCTACAAGGTCAAGGTGACCGGGATGAACCCCAAGACCAAGTACATCCTGCTCATCGACATCGTTCCCGCTGATGACCACCGCTACAAGTTCTGTGACAATAAATGGTAAGTTATTTTATTTTATTTAATAAAAAAGGGAATTCTGGTGCTGTCAACCATTTGTGTTGTGAACTTGGCAAACGGTGCGAATCCCTTCCCTTGGTGGCCCGGGATGCCGCTTCCGGAGGGCCGCAGCAGGTCAAGCGCAGGTTAGCGGGAAGCAGCGGCCCAGTCCCGGCCTGGCCCGCGCTCCAGCTCCAAATTCCTTCCTTCCTCGTCATATTTGTTTTGGGAGGGCAGCCCCGGCAGGGCCGGGCAGTGGCTCTCGTGGGGCACCGCGGCTGTCCAGCGGGATGAGAGTGCCTGTGCTGCCAGCCCTCATGGGATTTCCTTCTCTCTTTTAATTTATTATTATCCAGCGCTTCTTTCCCTCTTATATGCCCTCCCTTCCATGGCACTTGGAAGGAAGTACCTTCCTTTGGGTCTTATGATTTTTTTCCCCCAAAATGCACGAAGTGCTGCATATTTCCCAGCCGCATGGGCAAGATGAAGAGCAGAAATCTTACTGCGGTTTTAACAGGAACTTACAGAAATCTATAGGAATACTATAACGGGAACACTATAGAAAAATGTGATAATTTCATTGACCCTGAGTCCATCTGAGGGCTTTGGGCAGCCCTGGAGCCCCTTCCCCTGTTCATTCCATGGCTGCCGGAACATCCTCGCTGCTGTTTTGGGGGAATGTTGCTCTTATCGGGGTGTTACGGGAGGAGAACCCCAAGCAGCAATGCAGGGACTGTCAGTGAACTGCAATATCTGTGAAAACCAGGAAAATTTGGTGCCTGGAAATAGAGGGAGGCAGGAAGGCTGCATTCACAGCAGGAGGAAGGGCTGCTTTTCGCCGACCTTCACCGGTTTTGCTGCTTCCTCACCCAATTTACAGCACGTCCCAGCGTGCTGCTGTCCCACCTGGATTAGGGCTGGGAAAGGGCGTTTGGTGGCAGCGCTGTGACCAGCGTGACCCGCTGTCTTTGCAGGATGGTGGCGGGCAAGGCCGAGCCGGCCATGCCGGGGCGCCTCTACGTCCATCCCGACTCGCCGGCCACCGGAGCCCACTGGATGCGGCAGCTCGCCTCCTTCCAGAAGCTGAAGCTCACGAACAACCACCTCGACCCCTTTGGACACGTAAGAGCAGAGCCGGGAGAGGGTCCCGATCCTTCCGGGCGTTCGCAGTCCGACACAGGTTGCACCAAGCTGCTGTTGGAAAAGGCAGGGGATTTTATTTGGAAATACCAAATCCAGAGCGTGTGCAGGCCAACAACCCCCCGCCTGCAGTTAGTGGGGCCGGAGGATTTTGGGTTCCCTGGGTTGCAGTGGCCTTGGGTGCAGCTCAAGTAAGACAGGATAGGCCCTCCCGCTACCTGTTTCCAAGCTGGAGATGTAAAAGGTGGTGAAAATCCCAGACTTTTTGCTGCATCCGTTGTTTTTTCAGCCAAGTTGCTGCAGAGGGCCGGTGATAACCCGGCTTTGTGCAGGAGCAAGCAGGGAGCCAACCCCCGTCCAGCCCCGATCCCCGGCAGCTTCAAAGCCCGCGGGGCCGTTATCCATCGCAGCTCGTTCGGCTCCGCTCGCGAGCGCGGAGCAAGCCCGAAACTCAGTGTAAAATGTTCCCAAGCAAAAATTGCCTAACGCAGCAGGCGCCCGCATGAGCCTGGTCCGGGCAGCTGGGCTGGCCTGGCTTGCATTGCCCGGGGCGTTTCTTCCCACCCCTGTTTTTTGGCTGGCGACGGAGCTGTTTGTGCTGCGAAACGTGAGCGCGCCCTGGACCGAGCAGCGCACACGGTACCGCTTTCAATGCTCGCTTTTCCTGGATTCTGTGTTGTTTTAACTGCAGTTTTCATAGGGACAATGTTTTTTTTTCCCCCTTTTTCCCCCACTTTTAATAAATACCTCCTCCCGCGAAGCGCCGTCCCCGGCCAGCTCCTCGCTGGTGTGAAGCTGCAACCCAAGCGCCGCGTGTTCCTGGGACCCCATCCCTGGGGCGTCGCGATCTCTCCGCATCCCTGGAAAAGCGAAGCGGAGCCGGGAGCAGCAGCCGGGATCGGCGGCTCCGGCGCTGGGATTTTCCGCTCCGCGCAGGTGCCGCGCGCCGGCTCCGCGAGCGCAGGCGGTGCCGGAGGAGGCGGGGGGCAGGGACTGCGTGGCCCCTCCGCTGCATTAACCATTTTCTGGCAGGCAGTTTGGGAGGAAAAGAGGCAAAAAAACCCCAAAATGGCTCTGCAGCCTCCTGCCTGCTCGCACAGTGTCAGAGCTTGGCTCCCTTTGAGGACACAGTGCAATGGATGCCGTCCCCTGCCCTTTACCTTGCCCTTGAATGCCCAAACGCTTACTTTAAAACAGAAAAAGGCAATAATTCTGAATTATTTCAAACAACCGAGTGTGTGCACACAGCGGGCAGCGGGTGTCCGTCTGTCCGCCCGCATGCCGGGGAGCTCCGCTGGCACGCGCCTTTTCCAACGTGGTTTTCCCTGGTACCGGCAGCCGGGTCTGCTGGAAATCATTTGCTTTCTAGAAAATGTACAAAAATATCATTATGGATGGAAAAAAAAGGGCAGTGGCCGCGTGCCCGACCGTGACGAGGACGAGCAGAGCTGGCCCTTAGCTTCTGCCGAGCGCCTGTTCCTGCTCATCCTCTCCCACATCAGCTGCTTTGCTCCTTAATGCCCACGAGCTTCCTTACTTCTCCCCATATTTATTATCTGCTCCTTTGGTTTTGTTTGACGGCCACTGAAAGCCTTTTTTTTTCTCTGCCTAGTCTTGCAGTTTTCCTCTTATTTTTCCATTAATCTGATTTTAGCCCTTTTTTGGTCTCTGCTTGTCTCTCCGGTCACTCCGGTACGTTAATGATGTAAATGTCCTATTAATCTTATGGTTTATTACTATGCATTTTATTTAGACTTTTATTTTTGAGTATTTGTATTTAGACACAGTTCTGCTCGCTGTAGCCCACATCTCCCCTCCGCGCTCCGTAGCTCGAGCAGCTCCACAGTCTCAGGCTCTGCCCATGTTTCCTTCCACCACGCATGGTTTTTTCCTCATAACTGGCTTTTTCTCAATATCTTTTAAATGTGAAATGGCTTTTGTCTGGCCCTAAAGTTGAACAGCACAGCCAGTTTTGGGGGGAGATCGCTAAGTCTTCATCTGCCAACAGAATATCCATGCAAAGGCTTTTTATTTTTGTTTTTTTTAAAAAACATCCATTTTAGGCAATGCTTTGCAGCTGATCTAACAAACAACAGTGCACAAATGTGCTCTAAAGCCCAACACGGCGCACGGTCGGCTTTGCAGTGGGTGCAGCGGACGCTGCTGAGGATTGCTTGGAAAGATGTTCCCATCCCTTTGCTACCTCTTTTTGCTGGTACTGGTTCATACGAGCTAAACGCAGGGATTTTCTTGGAAGTCGATCGGGAGGCAGGTTGGTGGTAGCCTGTGCTCCTATGGATGCCCCGTGCACCCGATGCACCGAGAGAATTTCATTACTGACATTAGATGAAAAAGGTTAGAGAAAAGAGGAAAAGGGAAAAAGAAAATCCCAGCTTTGGCCCTGAAGCGACGAACAATTTTTCTCCGCTCACATTGAACATTTTCCTAGGATTTTCCAGCCTTTTTTTTTCTTTTCCTATGATGTAAAGCACCAGAAGGAAAGCTTTGCTTTGTGTCCGCCTTTCCCCATGGATATCAGGGTTATCCTGAGGAGGAGGACTGGATGAAGCTGATGCCGAACTCTGGAGCTGCTGAATTTTCTCTCCTCCACTAGGTTTTGCCGCGGGCGCCGTTCCCGGCTCCGTGTCCAGCGTGTGCGGATCAGCCCCGCACCGGCTCCCTCCCCAGCCCAAAGGCTTTTGGAGCTTACAAAGAATAGAAGGAAGGAAGAAAGAAGCAGAGAATATATTAAAATGAGAGATTTTATATTACTTATGTGATCCCCTGGGAGCAACCGTAAAATTATGTGGCTTTTTCATAGCCATTTACTATTCAATATAAAAAGGGCAGTTGCTGTAGCAACCCCTGCATCATATGACATATGATACCTTGGAGAAACAGGGAGCTCTCTTAAATCAACTCCCCGCATTTCAGACACAAGTAAATAGGTTTTTTTACAGCAATTTGGAGGCAAGTTTGCGTTGCAGCGAGCGATGCAGCCCCCGACCCAAGCGAGCCGAGTCGTATCGAGCCCACAACAGCCTGCAAGGCTGCAGGCAAAAGGGAGGTGTTTCCCCAAGCAAAATTAAATGGAGAGAGAAAATGACTTTTTTTTTTTTTTGACATTTGTTGCTGACTGGGGAATGCCAAAAGAGAAAGAAAGAAAGAAAAGTGGATTTTTTTTAAGTTGCTGCTGCCAGCAGTGAGATTGGAGGGAAGCGGTGCCTGCGCGAGCTGCTGCCCTGCACGTGGGCGCTCGGGTCATCGTGACTGGGTGGGTTTTTTTTTTTTAATTTTTAATCATAATAATTTTTATCATAACCTTTTTCTGAAAGCCTGGTGCATTTTCCAGGCTAAAATGGTGCTGTGATGGTGGAGCTGGCATTCCCACACACCGCAACATCAGCCCAGCATCGGGTTTCTACCCATGGGTTCAGCCACCTAATTTGAGGAACCTGCTTGAAATATCCGCTTGCTTTCCTCTGTTCTGGTTTTCCTTTATTATTATTATTATTATTATTGATCTTTTTTTTCAAATACAGAAAAAAGAATTGTATTTATCAAGCTCCCAAGTACAAACACATCTCCTGCAAATGGAGCTGTATCCCATAGTCAAATGGAAAAGCTCAGCTAGTTGCAGAGAGGCTTTCAGGTAGTACAGCTGTGTGCATGTATAGCTGGATAAGAAGCACTGTTTTTTCCATCCTTCTTACTATTTTGTATTCTTGCCCTTTATTATATCGATTCCCCTCTAAGCAATATCCTGTCAGCCAGTATTTGAAGCAGCAGGGTCAGGCCGAACACCGTTTGGGTTTTAGTAGCTAATGTTCCCAACTTGCCCAAGTTTGACCTGAAAACGCAGTTCCAAGATGTGCAGGTTGATTTTTGAATCTCCCAGGGCCCTCGCGATAGAAAAGCTAAGCAAAGGAAAACAGAAAATTCCTATTTTGGTGCCATCTTTGGAGAAACATCAGGTTGTGAGCTCCGTGGTGAACTTCTGTCCTGTTTAAGTGGTTTCTGTGGCTAAAAATCCCCCTCACCTGGCGCGGGGGCTCCCGCCTGCACCAGCACCGGCAGCAGCAGTCGCGCTCGGCCCGTTCAATTAAAATAGCTGCAATTTCTGCCGCAATTCTTTAAGTTCCCATTTCCACGGCTGCACGTCACTGCAGTGGAATTTACATTTGTTTTGGGTATTTTTAGCCAATCGCAGTGAATAATTTTCCACAGCAGCCTTTAAAACTATTTAGTCTGGATTTTTGGCAGCGGGCTTTGTGCAGGCAGCTAAGGTTTTTGGCATTTTTTTTTTTCTTTTTTTTTGTTTTTTCTTCTTTTGTTATTTGTGGGATTTTCGAGTGCACGTTTAAACCGAATGTGAGCAGGGAGGGGTTTTTCAGGAGAGTCAAACTTTGGCGGTGGGAATGGTAGCTGCAGAAAGAAGGAAAGGGAAGAGTTGTGGGTGCGGATTGCGCGGGAGCCAGCGGAGCTCTGTGGAAAACCGCTCCTCATCCCCTTGCTGGGCTCAAGGAGGGCACCAAAGAGTGACTTTACGAGCGGCGGGTGTTGAAGGGGCCTGGGGTCTCTGCTCTCCTGGCTCCAGGTGTTTTCCTAGCTCAGTGGTGTCTCTGGGCCCCAGGAGACCTGGTTTTCGGCATCCAGACAGCACCACTTGGCCTCAAGTCTGAATTGAAGAGAATCGAAATATCCCTTCATAGGAGGATCTCACCCCCCGCGCCCGGTCTTGCTCCTCCCGGCTTTGTTTCAGGATACTTGAAAGCAGGGAAAAGGCTACGACCCAAAACCTGAGCCGACCCACTCAGATCCCTTCCCCGCCGCTCAGCAGCAGCCGAGTGGCCGACAGACGTGGTGCAAAGCTGATAAAATGCCAAAAATTCCTCCTCCTCTCTCTTGGGGAGCAGGGAGGGTCGTCTGGAAAACGTCAACAATAAAAACTGCATTTAAGCGGTAGACGACGCAGGCAGCTACCGTGGGCAGCGCGGCCAGATGAAGGGGTTGGGAGCAAACAACCCGCGGGAAGGGGAGAGCTTTCCCGAGCACAGAGCTGAGGTCTCCTCATCCCTAGTAATTCCTGTTTCAAACTGGCTAAATGCACGACTGATGCAGCAGGGAAGCTGCCCACGGTGCAGGGGCTTGGTCTGCCCGCACTGGAGCCTCTTCCAGTAGGAGGAAGATTAAGTGTTGCAGCATCAACATGATTGGGGGAAAAAATTGAGTTTACGTTCAATCCTTCCAGACTGACTCTGTCCAATAGTAGTAAGAAAATGAGAGTTGCCTAGAAAAGCTTAAAGTTCAGCCCAACAGCTCATCCCTAAATGGCAGATAGATTTGCTGTCCCAGATTGTATGCATTTATACAATGTTTTTGTTTCCTAGTTTGAAAGCAAAGCCAAAGCTTGGCAGCACCATGGCAGTCTGCTCACACGTCCCATTAGCAAACTGCATCCCACAGCCGAGTCCTTTGCATTTTATGTTATTCTTCTTGTTATTTTATCATCTTTCTAATTTTTAGCGTCAATTGTTTTGCAGATCATTCTGAACTCCATGCACAAATACCAGCCGCGGCTGCACATCGTGAAGGCGGACGAGAACAACGCGTTCGGCTCGAAGAACACGGCCTTCTGCACCCACGTCTTCCCGGAGACCTCCTTCATCTCCGTGACATCCTACCAGAACCACAAGGTGAGGGGGAGCTCCAAGGCATTTTGCTGTCCCCAGGAGTGTTTGGGGATGCGCAACGTTGCGAGCGCCGCGTTGCGATGGGGCCGTCGTGCAGCAGAAACAGCCTCCTCTGAGAGGCGAATTCCCATCCCAGCCACTCAGGCCTTGAGCAAGCCCAGAGATGCTGCCAAGGCTGCCTGTGATGTTGTTACACTTAACTCTTATACTTAACTGCATTTTTTTTCCCAAGTGCATCAGGATTCCTCAATAAAAGCGCAGAGGGAAGTAGCCTTTTCAGAGTGCTTTGCAGCACCACATGTATCTGCCACATGTTATCGCGTCGTCCCTCTCCTTGTACTTTCCTAAGGAAATAACAACAGGAACAAGCACCTCCATGAAACCCTTCCTGCCCAGTAATCTGGCCAGCCCTTTTCCTCCCACGTAGGACGCCCTTGGTGCAAGGGCCAAACACAGAGGCCTTGCAAAGTTTTGCAATTACTGAGCCAGTTAAAAGACTCAGAGGGGTTGTGTGCGCTGCGGGACGACAAGCAAAAGAAGTCCCCTATTTGGGCACGCAGGCGAATCCTGTTTGAAAAGTTGTAGCTGTCGGTGTAAAATGACCAGTTGCCCAAACATGGTTAACCAAAAAAGCACGAGGGAGCTTTTTTAATACCTATTTAAACTGCCTGGTGCGTCAATGGTGCCTTTCATCCCCAGGGTGCCCAAAGTGCTTCATAAACTGACTACTTCCAAAGCCATTGACACACAAATGCTCCTGGGCAGGCATGAGCAGCCGAGGACATGGGGCACTGCGCGCGCCCGCCTGGAGCAGGCAGGCTTAGGGGAAATGCACCAAAAAGCCCTAATTCTCAGGAAAGGCACCTGCAAAGAAGCTACCTTGCATTTGCTTTGCCCAAGCGAATCCCAGCCTCAGAGTGGGGGGTCCCGAATCCTGGAATTCCTGCCCTCCCTCATGATGGGCAATTTTGTCAGCTTTCAAAGCTGCCTCTGCTGCATCTACCCCAAACTTCTCAGCTGGTTGCTCTGCTTTTCCTGGGTGTGAAAGCACCTCCGGGCTCCGACCTGCTCTGCAGACCCGGCTGCCTCAGTGTTTTCAAAGGTCTCACGCTCGTTTTCGTTCTCTCAAAGATAACTCAGCTCAAAATCGAGAACAACCCCTTCGCTAAGGGATTCCGGGGCAGCGATGACAGCGACCTGCGTGTGGCTCGTCTGCAAAGGTAGCGATGCTGCTGTGCGGTGCCGGGGTTTTCGCGGGTGTCTGACACAGAGAAAAGAAACCTGCTTTGGGTGGCTTTGGGTGACGGGAGGCTTCATGCTCTGCAAAACCTTCATGGGCATGGGGACACCCTTGGCAATGCCCTGGGGAAGGCAGGTTGCTGCTCCGGCTGGTGCTGGTGGCTGTCGCCTGGGTAATAACCCCTCTTTTCCTCACCTCCTCCAGCAAGGAGTACCCGGTGATTTCCAAGAGCATCATGAGGCAGCGGCTGGGGGGCAGCCACCAGGCGCTGCAGCACTTCCAGTACGAGAACGGCGCCCACATGCAGTTCGCCGCGTCGGAGGCGCAGGAGCTGCCGCTCAACTCCTTCAGCGCGCAGCGGGACTCGGGGCTCTTCTACCACTGCCTAAAGAGAAGAGGTAAACGGGAGCGCGCGGGGAGGCGAGTGCTGCCCAGAGCCCCCCGTTGGCCCCAGCTTGTCACAGTTAGGCCTTGATCTTCTCGTGCACCGAGGAGGTTGACGGCCCCGGGGCTGCGGGTGGGAAGAGCAGTGAAGATGCTGCATTTCCTTCCTGGCATCTGGTCTTAGGGAGGGCACGTCCAGACCCTTGCACTAGAGGGGAAAAACGGGGAATGCATGGGGACAACCGTGGAGGCAGGAACTGCAAGAAAATGAATTTCAGCCCATTTCTGTCATTCAGGAGGGCATGTGGGAGCAGTTTTGGGAAGTCCCGGGGGGGCTGTTTGGTGATGGGGGGGCCGTCGTCTTCCTTATTTCTCATCCCGCAGAGAGCGCCCGTCACCTGGAGCTGCCCTGCAAGCGCTCCTACCTGGAGGCCTCGTCCTCGGTGGGCGACGACCATTATTTCCGCTCGCCTCCCCCCTACGACCAGCCCATGCTGAGCCCGTCGTACTGCGGCGAGGTGGCGC